GCATTTAAAAAATAATTAAAATTGAATTTTGGTGTAGCTATTTTAATATTAAAGATGGAAGAAAATAAGCAACATTTTTGGCATATTCTTTATTATTTCAAGAATGGTAAGAACTCACTAAAATGCAAAAAAAAAAAGATTTCTTCAGTGTATGGAGAAGGTGCTGTAACTGATCAAACATGTCAAAAGTAGTTTGCGAAGTTTCATGCTGGAGATTTCCTGCTGGGTGATGTTCCATGGTCAGGTAGACTGGTTGAAGTATATAGTGATCAAATAGAGACATTAATTGAAAACAGTTAATGTTATACCAGATGGGAGGTATTAAAATATCAAAATAAAGTTACTGGTGAAAATGAAAAACGTATCTTCCATTTTACAGAAAAAGCCATATGAACTTTTTGCCCAACCCAATATTTAGCTGCTCCTACACTGGGTGAATAAATATTTGCAAATGTTTTATTCTCTTGTTGGACTGACCCTTTACCATTATCCAATGATTCACAGTCTGTCTCTTATTACAGGATTTGTTATAAAGTCCATTTTGTGTGACATAAATATAGCTATCCCAGCTTTCTTTTGGCTTCTGTTTGCATGGAATATCTTTTCCCACCCCTTCATAATCTGTGCATGTTCTTATATCTGAAATGAAATTCTTGTAGGCAGCATATAGATGTGTCTTGTTTTTTTTTAAGTCCATTTAACCACTGTCTCTTAATTAGAGAATTTAATCCATTTACATTTAAAGTGATTATTGATAGGTATATACAAAATTGCTGTTTTGTTGTTTTCTGTCTGTTTTGTAGTTCCTCTAGCCCCTTATTTTCTTGTTCTCTTCCTTTGTGGTTTGATGACTTCCTTTGATGGCATGATTGGATTCCTTTTTCACTATCTTTTGTGTACCTACCATAGGTTTTTTATTTCATGGTTAACATAAGGCTTACATATATCAACTTATATTCACAACAGTATATTTTAAGTTGATCACAACTTAAGTTTGAATGCATCCTAAAACTCTACGTGTTTATTCTCCCCCTACATTTTATGTTTTTGTTGTCACATTTTATATCTTTTTATCTTGTGTATTCCTTAACTAATTTTCATAGTTATTTTTAACTATAATTGTCTTTTTAAGCTTTATATTACCTTTGCTTTTTAAGTGATTAATCCACTAACTTTACTATATATGTAGCTTTAGCAATGAGGTTTATACTTCCACATGTTTTCTTGTTATAATTAGCATCCTTTCTTTTCAGCATAAATAAGTCCCATTAACATTTCTTGTATCAATAATTCTGATTTAGTGGTGATGAACTCCTTTAGCTTTTACTTGTCTGGAAAATTATTTTTTAACATGTTTATCAGTCTTTCAATTCTAAATAATAACTTTGTCAGGTAGGGTATTGTTTGTTTGATTGTTTTCTTTTAGCACTGCGAAGATATAATGCCACTCTCTTCTCGCCTGGAAAGTTTCTGCTAAAAAATTTGACAGTCTCATGGGGGTTCCCCTGCACATAACAATTTTTCTCCTTTTTAGCTCCTCTCCATGTTTTTAACTTCTCACATTTTAGTTGTAATGTTCCTTGGGATATGTCTCTTTGGATTCTTCTTATTTGGAACTTTCTGGGCTTCCTGGATCTGGATGTCTGTTTCTTTCCCCAGGTTAGGGGAGTTTTTTGTCAGTACTTGTTCAAGTAAATTTCCTGCCTCTTCCTCTCTTTCTTCTATTCTGGAACTCATATAATATGTATATTAGTCCACTTTATGTTGTCCTTTAAACTATTTTCATATTTCTTTATTCTTTTTTTTGGGGGGTTGCTCTAATTGGGTGAGTTCTACTGCCCTCTCTTTGAACTGACTGACCCTACTCTTTTTCCCAGTCTACTGCTGAACCCCTCTAGTGTATTTTTCAGTCTAGTTATTGTATTCACCACTTATGTGGCCTCTCTTTTGTATTTTCTTATAATCTCTTTGTTGAAGTACTCACTAGGGAGAATTCTTCTAGTTCAGTGAACCTTCTTATGACCATTACTTTGAACTCTTTATTAGGTAAATGATTTACCTTTGTTTCATTAAGATTTTGGTTTCCTTAAGTTTTTTTTTTCTTTTGTTTGGAACATATTTTTTTCATTTCTTCATTTTGCTTAATTCTCTGTGTCGGTTTCTAGGATTTAGATGAAATAGCCATTTCTCCCAGTTTTGAAGGGTTGGCCTTATGTAGGAGATGTACCTTATAATTCAAATGTGTCCTAACCCTTGGTTGTCTCTCAAACCTTTGTGACTGACCAAGCCACCTGTCTCCTGTCTCATTTTTTTTAAAGATTTTATTTATTTATCTTTGGAGGGGAAGGGAAGGAGAGAGGGAGAGAAATATCAATGTATGGTTGCTTCTGGTGCACCCCTTGCTGGGAACTGGCCCCTGCTGGGAACTGGCCTGCAACCCAGGAATGTGCCCTGACTGGGAATCGAACCGCGATCATCTGGTTTGCAGGCCCGCGCTCAATCCACTGAGCTATACCAGCCAGGGCTGCCACCTGTCTCATTTTTAATAGCTCCCAGTAGTTTAAGGTGTGTCACAACCAGTATCTCAGAGGGGAGGGGCTTAGTCAGCCTCTAGATTCAGGCTGATTGGGAGCCAGATCCTTAAGGATCTCTTAAAGAATGAAAATATATACAGTCCTGTGAGACCACAAGTATTGTGGCTACCAGCCTGACTGGCTACCAGAACCAGGCAATCTGGTGTTGTCCCTGGGGTGGCAGTTGCAAAATTCAGGGCTCCCCTTCCTTATGCATTATATAACTAACCGACTTCATCAGTGATGCTTAGCCTTGCAAAGTTAGGCTCCAAAGTAAATCCTCAGTAATGTTACTAAGTGAAAATGCAAATTACTTAACAGCATATAGGATGTGATACTGTTAAGAAGGGTGTGCATGTGTAAGGGCATGTTTGCAGGCGTGCACACACACACTTTATTTGTCCATGGTCACATATATAAATGTATAGAAGCAGGCTTGGAGGAAGTCATCCAAAACTGATCAGAACCTGGGGTTGGAAGGGGTGGTCAAGGGGCATTTTCACCTTACCTGAATGTCTAAACATTTTTTACAGTGAAAAATATGTTCAGTAAATATTTTTGAATTTTTAAAATACACTTAAGGGAAAAAGTTCACTGAAGTTGAACTGGAAAATGATAGTGCTTTTAATATTTAAGAATAAAAAGATAGCAAATTTTAATATCTTAAAATGGGCAATACATAGAAAATGTAGTGACCATGGGAAATGTATGAATGGGCAATACCCATTTATAGTATGTAGCATGTTCCTTAGAAATTAAACAGTGTCTCTTCTCTTACCCCACACACATACTCTAGCCATGGACATTATCTTATAAGAGCAGCTAATTCCAATATTTTCTAATGGTGTTAGGAAGTCAATCCTTACAAATATATATAGAAAAAAATGAAAAAGTTACATGTTTTAATGTAAATCAAAGGTATTTCTTTACCTCATTCGTGGAAGTTTTAGGCAGTTTAAGTCTTTACTTTCTCTAGCACACAAAGAAGTTCTTCTGAGGAGGGAAAGGGGAGCTACAAACCAAAGCAATGCTGCAGACACACATAGGGAGTGTGAGAGAGAATGGTGCCCTGGCTGCTACTGGAATGTAGCCCTCAGTTTCGCAGGGCAGCAAAGAGGCTAAAGCCATTCACTTCCATGTATAACTTTAGTATTACATATCATTTGACCAAAATAATTCCATCTAGTATTACATATTATTTGACTAAAAATAATTCTGTTAATTATAGCTCAATAAAGAGATCATTGATATAAAAAAACATATACACCATATGTATGTTTTTTACACATATACACCATGGTGTATATGTGTACACCAATGTACACATATACACCATAAGCTATATGCAGACTAAAGTCTCCACCCCAAAAAAGAAAATCACACCACACCAAACCATTTTTTTGTTGTTTATTGGTGATCTGCTTTGCTATACAGTAATTTAGACGTGATGGCATGGGGCCAAGAATACTAGGCTCAAATCCCACCTGCCCTACTTTTTAGTGGGGTGACTTTGGGCAAGTTAACTAAACCTTCCTTGCCTTTGGTACCCTTCTGTAAGATAGCGATGATTATGGGGCCTCCCTTGTAGGTAGTAAGTGATCTAGGAATACCTGGCCTACAGGAAAACACTTAAGCTCAGTTATTATTTTTTGGATTGAGAAAACTTCCAGCTTCAAGAAGTCCTATGATTGTCCAAGACACCCCAATTTCATGGTTGTGCTACAATTTGGACATGACACATGTACTCCTTAAGATTAGACCCCCAGTCTTCTTGGGAAACTCTGTTGTGTTCCCACGGAGTGTGTTAAGTGATAGGTGTGTGATACTGAGTGGGAAAATGACCATGTGTTCTAAGGGCAATGCTTCTTTCCTGAGAGTAAGTCTATTGTGTATACATTGTGAGCCAGGCCACCCTCTCGATTAAGCCAGTAGATTCCCTGAAACCTGGGGAAAATCAGAGCCCCTTCAGTAGAAAATCTGACGTATTCAGAAAGTCCCATGATTTAATAAGTGTATAGTTGAAAGCCATCTATTTGTGGTCACTTATGAAGTAATAACAGAGATGATCTCAACACACATCTTATGGTACTCTGGAAGAAAAGGTGAAAAGCTCTGTATCTAGTACACAGTGTGAATTCTGACTTTTCAGAGTAGACTTTGGTTTTGACAGCTCTTTATTTGCTGGCGTTGCATCTCAAATAGCTTTGGAACAATTCTGTCAAAAGTGGTGAAATGATGACTGCCTTCTTTACTGTATAGCTTATGCACTTTGGAGGGCTCAGCAAAACAACCAAAAGTGCCTCCTTGGCCCTCACAAGTCCCTAGGCTCTGAGAGGGGGGAGAAAGGACACACTGGGACCTGAGTTCAGAGGGGTGCTACTCGTTGGCCAGTGCAGGTTAACCCAGCTCTTTTCATCTGTGTTGCAGGGATCATGTATCGCAAGTCCTGTGCATCATCAGCCGCCTGTCTCATCGCCTCTGCTGGGTACCAGTCCTTCTGCTCCCCAGGAAAACTGAACTCGGTGTGCATCAGCTGCTGTAACACCCCTCTGTGCAATGGGCCCCGGCCCAAGAAAAGGAGCAGCTCTGCTTCAGTGCTCCAGCCATGGCTACCCACCACCTTCCTGTTCTTCAAATTAGCCCTCTTCTTGGCGTACTGCTGAATGAGATGCCAGCCCCTCCTGCATTATTCTTCCAATCCTCACTCCCCTGCTTCCATGAGATCTTCTGGGTGTCCTTTGAGTCTGGGTAGGGAGTCTGCATTCTCTTTCTTTTAGTTCCTTTGCAAATAATGAAAGAGTTCCATGTAAAACATTTTTGTAAGCTCTGAATAAATTCAGTCTGACTGAATTTTCAGTGTGTACTTAAAAGAAGGGAGGGGTTGAATTCAAGGTTCCCCCATCTGTAACCAGTCAAGGTAGCAGAATCAGCCCTTAGAAGACACTTGAGTGGACATCTGTCTTACCCAAGACCACTAGCTTCCACTCCTGTCCCTAGTTGGGGAACAGATTATTTTGTCCCTGCTCTGAGAGGGTAATGTTTCCATTAGGGGAGGGCTGGTTAGCACTTGAGACTTTCTTACTTGACATTCACACTTCATGCTCCTGAAAACCATTCTCTGCTGCAGAACCAGCTGGTTTCGTCTCCCAGTTGGGCTCTGGCGACTCTGGACTCAATTGTTGAGTCTTAGACTCGGACTTGGCTTCGGCCTCTCTCTGAAAAGTGCTTAAAAAAACCTCCTTAGTTCTCCTCACAGAGGAATTGCTCCTGGAAGCAATGAAGATCAACGGACGGCGTGCAGAGCGGGCGCTGTCCGTGGTGGAAGAAGCTAGGCTGCGCAGGCGCTTCTCCTGATTGGCGTGCTGCAGGGTCAGGTGGCAGCGCAGCACCTGCCAGAACACCCTGCGGAACTGCTGCGAGGACACGTTGTATAGCAGCGGGTTGATGACTGAGCTCAGGTAGAAGAAGGTGTCCGAGAAAGGGAGGAGGATCATGTAGGCCTGGAAGTAGGACTTGGGCCAGTCGTGCTTGGGTCTGGAGGCAGCCATGATTCTCCGGACCTGGTTAGGTAGCCAGCAGATGGCCAGTGTCACAACGATCAGCCCTGAGCAGGCAGGAAGTGGGGAGAGAAACAATAATACAGCATGAGAACAGCAACAAAAAACCACAAAATATTTAGCACCTCAGTTCTGTACTTACTGGCCAGGAAATGGTACCAGTTTTTCGATGTTGTGTTTGACAGCTTCTTTTGCCACTAGCAAAAAAGAATTTAACACTGTTTCAGGGCTGGAGGAGTTGACTGTGTTAAAGACTGTTAAATGCTTTAGACAGTTTATTTATACCTGTTAATGCCTGTTAATTAAAAAAAAAATGTTTTCACTGTTGTTTCTGTATCCAGAAAGCATTTTATGCAGTCCATTAATCTACTTATATCTTTTTCTTTTAAAAAAAAACATAGATGTATACAGTATAGCTATATACTGTATAGCCAAGAATGTCCACATAAAGAAGACCCAATGATATCTTCAAGACAAATGGAAGTGGTAACAAAGAAGCATATTTAGTTACACTGATCTTGCATTCAGTTTCTAGGGAAGCAAAAGGAGGACTAGCCTGTCAGTGAGAGTGGGGTTTTTTTGACACAGATTTACTAGGTGAGCACACTTGTAATTATAATGTCCTATCTGCAGCAGCACTTCTGTTTCTTTGCAAAAGTTTTGAAGTAGGACAATTATTCAAACACAATGGAAAATATAAAACTTCCTTCAAGTTCAGCCAGTAAGAGGCTCATTGCCCTTGTGGCACTGAGCTATAGTGGAAAAAGCCCAGAAATGATCAGACTTGAAAGAGACATGACTCAGTGGCCCCCTCCAAGGAGCAAATACTTTTTATATGGACATATGTTTGCATGCCCACGTCTGCATTCCAGCTTACATAATCATTGCTATTTCTATGATCTATGACAGACAAAGATCCTACTAGGTCACAAACTACTGCTATGACAAGTTTCACGAGCATTTATACTATAGAGACCCCCCCCAAAAAAAAGAAATGTCAGATCAGAAATCAGCAGTACGTTTGTTCTCTTCTCTCAGGGAAGTGGTGGGGGTAGGACAGAGGGGGCTGGGCAAGATACCAGAATGTAAGTGAGTAGAACTGATAACTTAAAGCCATGTTTTGGATTTGCAGAAATGCTTCATCACTCTCCTAAATTTGAATAATATAATAAGGAAAATTCACATTTTCAAACCCTCTGATTTTCTTAGAAAACCACAGGGAAGTGATTGTTGGCAATGGCCCCTTCCTACTTCTTATCGAAAGTAAGTATTTCATTAATACATGCTCCAGGAAAAACAGCCATGTTCACATACCCAAGGTTGGCCCTCCTGCAGGCATTCACCTGAGCATCCCTTGCCTGGGTCTGGAGTGACCCTAGGTGTGTTCTCTGGCACTGAAATAACCCAGCTCCCACAACAACAAACCCTCCATAAATCCTGGCTGTCAGCAAAGAGGGACCTAGGAACACTGCTTCCTTGTTAATTTTCAAGGGATTTTTCTCATCAAACCTCAGCCCAAGCTTGAAATGCAACCCAATTTGCTTATTTCTTTTCTTGGAGTTTGCTACCCTGAGAACACTCAGTAAATCTAAAAATAAAACAGGCAAAGTTACATATTGATATGATGAAAAGGCAAAAACATCATCTTAAGTCAAGAGTATACTCTGAATCATCTAGTTACAACTGCTGGATAGGAACACAAATCCACATTCTTCTGATTTAAAGAAATACTTTCAGAGGAAATTGGGGACTTTTTTCACTGCTTATAGAAGTGCAGGCATTTCCAACCACCTCTATTCCAAGTGTGCTCTTAAGTCATTTCTCTTTGTTTTTATCCCATGCAGCTCTGAAGTGTTTGTCTCATTAATTGTGAAGGAGCTAGGCAGCTCCCCATACCTAGGGAGCTATGTCTTCACGATTTTTTAATTTTTTTCTTCCTTGCCACTGAATTCCAGAGAATAAGGACAACCATCTTCATCTAAGGGCTTATTTCTTAGAATATGGAGCCTGAGCACAAGGTTTAGATATGTGCTATGCTACATGGTAGGAGGTTGTACTTTAGGTGGTAAGCATCTAGAAAGGCAATGAGAACCAGCTTGTACTTACCACAGCTTGAACATAGCACAGCTTTCAAGGCTGGCACAAGAAAGATGGTGAGAAAATAAGGCATGGCTGTGGGCAAGTGGAGAGAAATTATAAAAGTGCTCTTTTGCCCTGTTTTTGCTTCTGTTCCATTGAACTCTTATTTGCATGACCCTTATTCTTCTGTTACCTTCACCCTCTTTGCCTGGCATCAAATGTCCTTGATTAGTTATCCCACCAAAAGAAGCAGAGTTTAGTAAGAAACAATAACAACAACAACAACAAAGGCATAAGCATCCTGCTATGAGGCAAGAGACAGGGGCTGATGACGAATTGTGACCTGGTTTGCAGTTTCAGCCAGGAGAATTCTTGCTTTCAAGTCAAAATGAGCTAAAGTAGGTAACTGAGAAACACCTCAACCTGAACACATAGGACAACATGGGGACCAGACACAAGGTTCTTCAATGATGAGAAAAAGAAAGCCCGTTTCTGCTTTCTGAGTGTAGAAGTAGGGAGATATGGTACCAATACATAGAGAACAAGAGAGACAAAGGGCTGAGTTAGAAATAGACCAGGATTAAAGATTAGGCATTGGACAGGTCTTGAGATATAACCAAGAATAACGACAAATATTCTTGCTACCCTTGTTCACCCAGTTCTTTCACATAAAGCCTTCCACATAAGAGGACTACAAGTTATCTGAAGCCTAAGTAATTTTAAAAGCACACATTTCTGTTTTCTGCATTGCTCATTTCTAAACCTTGCCCAGTCATTTTTGTTGAGATACAACACCAAATACAAACCATTCTCCACTAATTTCCTATTCATTTCTCACTTCTGGTAATAACCTGGTAAGATCAGAATTGCCGTTACCTTCATTTTATAGATGAAGTTGAGTCTCAGAGAAGCCTAGATGCCAGTGGGCTATGACTAGAACGCATGCTTGCCGCACTTCAAAATTCAAGGTATGTACTTGTTTCTCAAAGATTTATAGAAGCTGTTCCTTATATTTCAGTTTTAAAAACATAGAAAACACAAGACAGTAAACATTAGCCATAATTCTACCACATGCAGTGAATATAAAGCAGCACAGTCCACTAGAAATATAACGTAAACCATGCCTAACTTTAAATTTTCAAGTAGCCACATTAAAAAAAATAGACAAGGGAAATCAATTTTAATCATTGTTTCTGTAATCCAATATACCCCAAACATTATCATTTCAGATGCACTTTCAACATACCATCAACCTAATGTTATTTATGAGATGCTCTTTTCATACTAAGTCTTCGAAAACCAGTGTGGCTTTTATGCTTACAGCACATTTCAGTTGGGACCAGCCATAGGCGGCTAGTGGCCACAGCACAGTTTAAAGTAACTCTTTATAGCTCCTCCTCAAAATAGCAGGACTCCTTATTTCTTCCCATTCTCACTTCCACACTGGCTCCCTTCCCAGCCACATACCCAGAGAGTCCTGTCCAAGCAAGGAAACCCCTACCTAGCTTATATTTGTCATCCTCAGATTCTGATGATGCAACCAAGGTTGCATCACTCCTGATCCTGTTTCTGAGTATGCATTCTCAGCCATGCTGAACATGTTCACCCAGTCCTTTCACATAAAGCCTTCCACATAAGAGGACTACAAGTCATCTGAAGCCTAAGTAATTTTAAAAGCACAAATTTCTATTTTTTGCATTGCTCATTCTAAACCTTGCCCAGTCATTTTGGAATAGCATAGATTGTGCCAAACACCTGGCAAGGCTGTTGGAATATAATTTCTCCACCTCAACTGGAGGTGGGGAAAATGGCTGGTGCCTTTCCTCTTGGGCTTTGAAAGATAATTTTGTTCTAGAAAGATAGAGCGTTGGGCATAGGGTTCAGCCAGTAATGAGAGAGGTGTGTGCCCATGGGCAATGTAATAGAGGGTGGGAGTAGGGGAACCAAACCAGCATCCCTGTAAAATTTGTCATTTTATAAGGGCAGGTAATTTGCTCATGTTTACATTTGAAGAAAAAAGGTTCATTATTTTAGATGACACCTTGTTGAGAACAAATGTCACATACAAAGGTGTTTTTATTAAGGCTGTTTGCAACTGGTCCACCTCTAGTCCTAGCTACTTTGTAGCTGAGACAAAGCTTTTAAAGTCTTATTCATGCCTTAATAGAGCACATTAAAGATTTGACTAAATTTATGTTTGGCCGCAATCAATTTGGACTTGTATATTACATTTGGAAAAATCTATAACACTTTGATCTGTGTAGTGTAATGTGCAGACCGCAGGTAAATAACTTTAGTATGAACTTGAATGAAGATCAGTGAACTGAACCCAGTGATGTAAAGCAAATAAACAGTTTTAACTGAATTATTGATAGATCTGTATTGCACTCCAGACAGCCTTGCACTCTAGGTTAAGAAATACCTTCATATTTATCTTATTTTTCCACATAAAGTACTTCCATTTTTCTTCTTTGATCATTACACTAAATGGCAAGAGCCATTAGATGATGACACAGATTTATTCTCAGCAGAGTGAAGTTGTTTAAAAAACAGGTAATGCAGATGTCCAACAACATCCCACACTGAAGCACGACATTTCAATAGCAACCAAGCCAGTCTGCTTGGTGCAGTCTTCAGAAGTGCATTAAGCTATGCTGCCAGAGATGTGTCAGCATTCATGCATTCAACCATGATCTGTTTTATCCCTGCTAACCTTTAAAATTAAGGGAACTATTTGTGTGTACCCCAGGACTTGTCTTAGAGTAATCAGAGAATAGCAGACAGAAAGGGAGACCCCTGCAGAACTCCCTTGTCCTACAAATGTCAGAACTGAAGGGAAGTGATTCACTCAAGTTCTCACAGGTCTGGGTGGCAGATGCCCTTGACCTTGACATACTGCTTAGATCTCTGGATTCTACCTAAAGTTGACAAATAAGCCTATCATATTTAAATGTAGTTTTGTTTTTCA